TAATTGTGTAATAAATTTTAAATTAGGAGATCATTTTCTTTATAATTAGAAGCACCAGTCGCCGCCTTCAGATACTTTACCCAATACAGATGCATCATAACTGCCCATATAAACCAAGAAGCCAAAGCAGAAATAAATTCTGTAATGTTCCTATAGTTCAGGGCTTTCCAACTTCTAAGTGGCAGAGACTTCACACCCTGCGGGTCGCACCAACAGGAGCCCTCCCTCCCATCACTCTCTGAATCACATCCCTCCCCCCATCCCATGCTGTGTGGAGCAACCCCCCTACCCTTGCTGCTGCATCATGTACCCCCACGGGTGTGCCCTCCCTCCCGTGAGGCACCACATCCCTGTGCTGCATGCTCCAGGCTCCCCCTCTTCTCTCTGTGCTGCACTACACTGCTCTGCTCTGTCCACAGGGGTGTGGGCAGGGAGTGGAAGTGGAAGGAAGGAGGAGAAGCTGGGAAATCCTGCTGTTGCAGCTACAGTGATGGGGAAACAACAGCTGAAGGAAGCCTAGGGACCGCAACTTGACCTCTTGTGGCCTTGCTGTATAGCAGATCCTACCTGCCATATTCCTATAGTGCTGCAGCAAATATGGTTGGGATTCTGAAGTGAAAGTCACTGAGTCATTCAAAGTGAACGTAAACATGAAGCCTTTTAGCATAAATGTGAAGCCTTTTTCTGTCTGAAAAAAGGATTATAATAGTATTAAAGGTGAGTAAACTGTGAAATAGGATATCTGTGGTTACATAGTGAACCTCTTGGAATAGGAATCAAGAATGGAATGGAATAGGATGAAAATGCGCACCCCCTTTCATGGAAAAATGAAAATGTGGAAATCCCTTAGAGACTGCTGGAGCAAGGTTAATAGCGTACAATGAAAAGAGAGCCTGTGGTTCTCTCATTAATGAGCATGTACCTAAACAGAGGCAGAGCCAGAGCATTTCTGTGCCTTGGGCATCAGTGTGCCTGTGGCCAGCCAGCAATTGCAGTACTTGTTATTTTTGCCCCCCCACCCCTGACACGTCAGTGCCCCAGGTTCCCAAGATACATATATCAGCACCCAGAGCTAATGCCTCCCACCCCATCCCCAGGCTCAGTTACACTATTGCTTCAAAAAATCAGAATGTTATGGTCTGTTCTATATTGTGTTTATCCCAGATTTATTTAAATTAATACTCAGTTATCTACAGATATATGGCTGTGGAAAACAGGTGACTATATTTGTAATTTTATGTAATTATGATTTTTCTTGTTTTTCTGTAAACTACCTTTTTTCATTTTTAAAAAATGTACATATAGAGTCAGTATTTGGCTACTCAAAAATTCATATACTCCTGCTTCATCATGTTCCCTGCATCATAGTTTTGGTGTATACCTTCCAAAAAGATGGAAAAACTTCATAGAAAAAAGTGTGTGGACTGTTCACTGGAAAAGTAGATTTTTTTTAAAAAGTGTAAGGCTTTTTTTTTTTCTTTTGAAAGTGCAGTAGAAGGGAGAGGTGCATATCTAATTGCATTCAAAGGGGATTAAGTTTGTCCCATTCAAATCTCCATAGCTTGAGCCTAATTACAAGGTTTGCATAGCCAGATGAAATATAAAATATGGTATAATCTTCCTTTATGATGAAAATGTAGTCAACTCCTGCAGAGATTTTTTTTTTGGTTTGTTTTTAAACCAAAGGTTTTAGATGCTAAATAAAGTAGTACTTTAGTATGGGGACAACACAAATTCATTTAAGCTATCTGGACTTTTATTCCTGGAGTAATGTATTGAGGAAGATGATAGTGACATGTAAAAGTTACTTAAATGATTCAGTATATGAGTCTTGGAAAGCACTGCATCTGTCCAGTGCACAGCACTCTTGTTGCTCACCTTGGCGATTTTCAAAGGACCAGGTCAAACTGCAGAAGTATGGCTGAATTGGAACTCAAAACCTGTTTCTGAGTGACTGTGATCACCCTTCAGCTAAACTAGGAGTAAAATCAGATTAAACAGAGCAAAGGGCTTGAAAGGAGATCTTTTATATAAGAAGGCCTTACAAATAGATTATATAAATATACTACCTCATAACTTTAGCTTAAAAATGTTAGTAGGTGTGATTGATGTAACTCAATGCACTGGATGTAATCTGTTCTAATAGTAATAGTTCTATTAAGTGTCTTACATAAGATGTGAAAACAAAGCAGCCTTACCAGTGAAAACCATAAACCAAAATGAAAAGAAAACAGGATGATGATAAGCTGGGATCCGGGTTTTCCATTTCCCATGGAAAAACGGAGTAAACCGCGGATTTTATCTTTTACCGGAGGCAAACACGGATTTCTCATTTTACCAGAGAAACCCACGGATTTTGCAGCTTTGCAATGAGCCCTCTGCAGGCTGGCAGAGTTTCAGGAGTGGAGGGGAGGGTGGTCAGGCAGGGGGTGACATGTCCATGTCTATGGCTGCCAAGGCAGCCTGGAGAGTAGCTTTTGCAGGTAAGTGGTGGGGGGGTGGAGAATGGAGGCCCCCATAGGGAGGGAGTTGGGCAGGGTTGGGGCTGCTGCCCTTCTAGGCAGTGTGTAGAACTTGGGGCCTGAGGCCACAATGTGCAACCGCAAGGCCCCCACAGGGAGTAGGAGGGGGCTGCAAGCTGCTCGTCTGGGGACAGGGGGGGACTGGCTTCCTGCCACTGCGTGCACCCCTGTGGGGCAGGGGAGACCTGCACCCCCCAGATCTGTGCGTGGGGCAGGGTAGGGTGGGCTGTGCACTTCGGGCTCCCCCCTGCTGCCCTCCACAGCCTGGCGGCTGTGACCCAGTAATGCAGGGCAGAGTGCAGCTGCACAGGAAAGCTACTTGCTGCTGCTGGCTCCACACTGCCCTGGCAATATGTCCCCTGTGTACGTGGGGGTGGCAGCGCCGGGTCACACTAGCAGGCTGCAGAAGCTATGTGGGAGGGCAGGAGCCTGAGTTTGCAGCGTGGACCCACTGCGCCCACCACCCCACACAGATCTGGGGGGCACGGGTCCCCCCTGCCCCTGGGAGTGCTTCATCTGCCCAAGCCCACAGTAGGGAGGAGCCAGGCTCCGTGCTCTGCTCTGCTCTGCTCTGCTGCAGCAGCCATTGCCTTCTGCCAGGGCAGGTGCTGTGGACCTGGGTCCCTGGCCCCATAGCCCTGGCAGCTGGAGGGGGTGGGGAGTGAGGGGCACCAGCAGGGCCAGGGGGCTGTGGGGAGGGGTGAGGAGCACCAGCAGGGCTAGAAGGGCTGTGGGGGGGTGTCTTTCATTTCAGTAATGGATTTTGGCAGGGGGGAGGGTATCAGAGAATTTGCAACTTTGTTTTTATCAGGGAAAATCAGAATCCCTTGTAATAAGCAGTATTGAAAGACGGTGAGGGAAGGAGCTAAGAAATCCTCCCTTCCAGAAAATGGAATTTTCACCAGGACATACATCCCAGCTAATTGATGCTTTCCAAGTCTATAGAAAAACGGGTTCAGTTTAGTTCCCAAAGACTCAGTGAAACAAAGAAATCTGAATAAAACATTCAGCTAATCTTATTAGAGTAAGCCGTGTATAAATACTGGGTATAGACTAGAGGGAAAATCGGTGAACTCAACAAATTCAAAAAGAGCTACTACTAGTCTCCATACCACCCTCTTCCAGCCTGCTCTAGTCTCCCCGAGTGATATAGTTGAGAAACTGCATTAGGTTGTCACAGACCACTAGAGCTAGGAGAATTGTAGCTTTACCTTAATTCTATCTAAGCTTGCAAAAGAGGTCCTGATCATGTGAGAAATAAAGCTATGTTTTGATGATCTCTTTTATTGGACCAACTGTGTAGTTGAGGAGCAGGCATTAGGCGTGTAAACATTAAAAAAAATATTCATTTAAGCTCCTGTAATTATATTGGTTAAATGATTAATGGATAACACAGCAGCTTGGATCGCTGCTGCTAGGAGCAGCTCTGGGCTCCTGGGTACCCTTTGTCTGTGGGGAGGGAAGGAGGAAACAAGCCCAGCCAGACAGCACAGCCCAGTGAAGTCCTGCCCTGGGAGGGAGGGGAGCACATGTGAAGAAGCAGCTAATTTCTTAATTGATGAGTCATTAGGTTGCTTGCTGTTTTGCTCTTAGGCAATGGGTAGAGAGCTCTGGAACTCGAATGAGAAGTGCATGGCGAAGCAGCTTCTTTAATTTTGGAGATTTCCCTGTATGGCCCCTTGCTGCTGATTGGCAGAGGAGCCTCATTGCTTGCCTTTCATCACCTGTGCCTTATGGCCTGGAAGTGAAAACCAGTTTTAAATAGGCTGCAGTTTTCACCTCCTGGCCACCAGGCACAAGCGATGGGTAATGGGACCCCTCCACCAATCAGCGGCAGGGGGGAATGCAACATTCAAGAAGTTGCCACACAGTGCACTTCTGGTGCAAATTCCAGAGACCCTTAGCTATGGGTCCTCCTGACCCCCCCGCCCCCCAACCCTTTCTCCTCCTCGCTCCTCCCTCCCTCCTACCTGTCCTGCTGTCTTCTTGTTCCTGCTCCCTCCTACCTGCCCTGCACCACAGGGCTCCCCCCCTCTTCCCCTTCTTCCCTGCCAGACTGCACCCAGCCCCAAGGTAAAGGATAACTGGTAAGCTAACTGGTTATTGCTGCACTTATCAGTTAAATGTTTAACCTTGATCGATTAATAGTTTAACATTTCACATCCCTAATAGGCTGTTGTCTGTCTCGCTGAAGGCCAAATGGTCCCAAGTTTATTGTACAAGATAATATGCAGAGTGTGTGACTTTTAAAAATACAAAAGATATAACTGAACAGTGTATAGGTCTTTCTGATAATAAAGTGTAAACCTATTAGAACCTTTGTAATGCATTGAAATGTAAAACCTTGTTAATTTCAATGTCCATCAAGTGTAGAACAAAATAAAAATCCAGTGTTCATTGTTCTGTAATGGGCTTTTTAATTCTTTTTACTGATAATTGGCTTAATTGATATTTATCTTTGTTTTTGGTTTTCCTTAGGCAGAGAATCCTGCTAATGGACCTGACTGTGGTTATGGTTCTTTTCATCAGCAGTATTGGCTAGATGGGAAGATAATTGCTGTGGGAGTAATTGACATTCTTCCATACAGTGTGTCCTCTGTGTACCTGTACTATGACCCTGACTATTCTTTCCTGTCTCTGGGAGTCTACTCCGCATTAAGGTAAGAGGATACTTTTGGTCTTCAGTTAGCTATAAAAATGGTTTATATTTATTCTGAAATATGAGCTTTTGTTCTTTATCTCAAATGAAATCTTATAGTGGAAACATTTAAAAAAGTGTTTCTTGTTTAATTGTGATGATGGAGAAATTTCTATTAGAGCAAATCCTGACAGTAGCTAGCTGAAATTTAAGTTGGGTTCTGAACTTTTTCAGCATTGTCTCTTAGGATTCAAACCACTATGTAGATTGAAAATACAGAATTAAATTTAGATTGGTGGTGGGAGTGGGGCGGGGTAGGGGGAGGGCAGGGGTATTTAATTTTAAGGGGGGTTTGCTCCCTCTTTTTACTTAGAGAGCAAGACCCAATTTTAATTAAGTTTCTATGTTTAAATAAACTTTAGGTCAGCAATAGATTAAATCAGGGGTGTGCAATTATTTTGGCTGGAAAGATGCTTAACGAGTATTGGTGAGCTTTCGAGGGCTGCAAGGGTAGCCCTGCCCCTTGACAGGTGCCTCCCCAATTGCCATCTTGGGACCGGAAGTCCCGCCCCAACCCATGACCTTTGCCACCTGAAGTCCCTACACTGGTCCCAGAAGTACTTTTGGAGGAGGGATGTTGCCATCTTGGAGCCGGAAAAAAACAAATCATATACTAAAAAATCAAATGTCTACTATAAAACATTTAATTTTATTTCAAAAAATATTTTTCTCCTGGTTTGTGTGTTTGCACAATGTATATAGAAATGATTGCATAGTAGCTCAAAATAGTTTTACTTTTGTATATTGTGTGTGGACAGGTAATGGGGTATGTGGTTGGGGGCTGCGTGTGGGTGTAGGTGGGGAAGGGTTTGGGGTGTGGGGATGGTGGGGGTGTTTGTGTGGGAGGGTGTGGGTATGGGTTTAGTGGGGGGTGGAAGAGGATGTGGAAGTATAGTGCAGGGTGGAGTGTGTGGGGGTGGGGGGTGGTCCTTGGAGTCCCCAGACTGTGCGCAGCCCTGGAGCTGCATGTTGTGGCAGCCCTGCCCAGTCACATAGTGTGCAGCCTCTGCACTCCCACCCAAGTCCCCAGCTGCACGTGGCGGCAGCGTGCGGGGCCAACCCCGCCCGACCACATAGCGCACAGCTCCTGTGGTCCCACCCTAGTCCCTGGCCACAAGTGGCAGCAGCATGTGGGACCAGCACCACCTGGCCCCATAGTGCACAGGTCCTGCACACCTCTCCAAAGTTTCCAGCCGCATGTGGCAGTGAGTGGGAGCTGTCTAGCCCAGTCCCGTAGCGTGCAGCTCCCGCGCTCCTGCAGCATGTGGGGCTTGCCTGGCCTGGCCCTGTAGCACATGGTTTCCCTCACTCCCAGTCTCCTTTCCCCCAGTGGGAGTCCCTGACTCCCATCCCAGGGGGGTCTTACCTCAATTTCCACTCTTCAGGGAGGGAGGGCTGGGAAGCAGCCACAGGATGGCGAGTCAAAAGCCTCTGCCAGGCAGATGCTTTTCATCTCCAGCACCGCCTGCCTTGGGGCTGGGGACAGGTCGGGCTAGGCTGGGGTGGGGGTTATTTGCTAACAACTAGAGCTGCACCTCCTGCATGGAGGCGCTGGCTTTCCGAGGGGCAGCCAAGGGCTAGAGCCCATGACAATTCTTCCAGCTTACGGAGGGCCCTTGCAGGCTGGATGGAATAGCTCGGCGGGCCGAATCCAGCCTGCAGGCTGTATTTTGTGCTCATGCCTAGATTAGATTCTGCCCTTACTCGTCACGTAGTCCAATTGATTTTGGTGTTTGCTTCCCTATATCCACTCTACTCCAGAACTACTAAATGATTACAGTCTTGATACATATTGCTACCAGTTCTAACATCTGGATGCAAAGAAAAACTTAAGCATTCCTTTGTAGATTTTCATTTTTCTGTGTTATCACATTTTTTTCAGCCATATTATTGCTATTAATGATTTTTAAAGTACAACTCCAGCTTTTAAAAAACAATGTATTTGTGTAGGTATTTATATAGTTATACAAACCAGCATTTAACCCATTTAAAATTTTCTGCATCAGAATTTAAGAAAGGCAGTACATCTCTTCAGAACTCTATCACTAGTGTTTAATAAGTAATAACCTAAAACCAATTTTAAAAAGTTGATGTATGAGAAATTGAAAAAAGACAGGTTACAAAATGAACAGTTCTTCACAGATTGATTCTTTCTAGTTAGGACTTTAAAAATTTAATTCAATTAAAATAAGAGTTAAATATTTTAAAGGATATGAGTTCTAATTAATTTGTCACACTTCATCAAGATACTCCTTTAAGAAAAGGAGGCAAGAAAAATGTTGATTAAAATTAGACCAAGGTCACATGTATTAACTACTGCAGTTTATTTAATATAGGTAATTTTATGCTTGAACAGCAAGGCCCTAATCATTCAAAGTCTTATGCACATACTTTACTCTCAGTGCACAAGTAATTCTATTAACTCCATCTCCTAAACATTAGAGCAGTTTTAGCTACAATTCAGTTAAGTAGGCATGTGAGTATTGGCAGGATCAAGGCAAGCACTTACCTGAGAATTATGTTTAAATGTTTAAGCGAAAACCATCAAGTTGAAATGTAATCGTTCCCAGATTTGCAGAGAAGAGTCACAAGGGGCTCTTTTTCTTTTTCTCTTTCTCCATATATAATGCTATCTGCAGGTGATGCCATTCAAAACATGGCTTTAACTGTCGTCTTTATATTGATGACTGTTCTTTCCATCCAAACTATAATTTGTGGTGGGGTGTGTTGCATCTGTTCATCAGTGTCCAGCTTTCAGTTCATGCCTGGCTATGGCTAATACTGCTCAGTCTCTCATTTAGTCCCTTTACCTCTGCTTCTTGGATTCATAGATGTGAGGGGCTGGAAGGGACCTCACAAGATCATCGGGTCCAGTCTCCATGCACTAGGCAGGAAAGACAACTGGGGTCAGGTGACCCCAGTAAGGGGACAGTCCAGTCTCCTCTTGATTTCCAGGGTAGGCAATTGCACCACTACTTCTGGGGCAAGTCTGTTCCAGAGTCTGCACACCCTGACTGTGAAGAAGTTTTTCCTAGAGTTGAGCCTGAAGTGGTCTTCCAGGAGTTTGTGGCCATTACTCCTGGTTTTCTCCAAGGGTGGCCTGGTGAACAGTTGTTCACTGTGCTCTTGGTGAATTCCCCTGATGTAGTGGTAAGCTGCTACCAGGTCCCCTGTCAGCCTTCTCTTTTTTTAAGCTGAAGAGACCCAAGTCTCGTCCTCTCCTTGTATGGTCTGCCTTGCAAGTCTCTGATCATATGGGTGGCCTTTCTCTGGACTCTCTCACGTTTTTCCATGTGCTTCTTGAAGTGTGGTGCCCAGAACTGGACACAGTACTCCAGCTGCGGTCTCACCAGTGCCGAGTACAGTGGAACAATCTTTGACTTGTTTTCCTCTCAAATCAAGTATGGACTAAAGTCATGCTGTTTCTTCCTACGTAACAATTTTTCAGATCAAAGATCTCTTCTTCATAGCTTAACCCTTATCCAAGTCCTTGTTATGTTGTGTTTGGGCTACTGTGGTTGCTTCACTTCTGGTTTTGATAAATGCTGATAATGTTGTTTGTCTTCTGTTTCCCCACTCCAACTCCTTCTGATGGTACTGATGGAAAAACTCATCTTCATGACTTATCAGCTTGACCATGTCACCATGTGCTGATTTCTATAATGTTGAGCAGGCAATTGGTATCCAGGTTCAAGAGAACTACAAACGTTAAGGGGTGTTTTCATACCACAGCTCTCGCCTTCCAATAAAAAAAAAATTAGCTGTTTAGCTCATTTGCCTTCATTAGCTTTACATAAAGTACCAGATTCACACACAGTAGATCCTGGGGTACCCTTTACTTGCAAAAAGTGATCTTCACCATAACAAGGTTGGAGACCACTGCTGTAGAGTGAGTTAGCCTTTCACTTCAGTAGCATAAATATTGTACGCTTCAGGCACAATAGTTTATTAAATTTGCTTTATCAGACTTAATAAAAAAACTGTCAGAAAAATCCAGTGAATTTTTAACCTTTTGCTGTCACCCTAGTTTTGGTGTTCCTGGGATCATAGACTGTGGTACTACTCAATAGAGTAAGATTTGGAAGGTCACAACCATCTTGATTAATTTCCATCTATGTATATATGAGATCTTATTAGAAAAAAAAAACTATTTCCATGTTGGGACTAGGGGAAATTAAGCTGCTGAAATGTTATTCCACCCATTTGATTCCTAGTTGTGTATGTATACTTTTTATTAACATGGAAACTTAATTGTCACAGTCTTGCTTGAGCTCCCTTGGTAAACCAGGCCATTGTGTTTGGATCTATACACTTGATCAGTGTGTTTCGAAGTCCTTCCTGAATTTGAGGAGTCTTGAGTTTCATTTTTTCCTCTCTCAAACACTTATTCCAGTCAGTCTGTCACTGCTTCCACTTCTGTGCGTGGAATCCAGTTATCTACCTGCCCTGGTTCTTCAAGACAGCCAAGTTATATATATCCTTCCCAAAAGCTTCATCTTCTAAGATAATCCAGAAAACCTATCAGTTGGAGCAGGTAACACATAACCTTGGAGTTAAATTTCTAAATCAGTTGCACTTACCATAGACAGAGCGTGGAAGGTCATAAACACCTGACCATAGTTCCCTCTCTCAGAATCCTAACCACTCTTCATGGTTTTCTATGTTTTGCTTAGTGTCTTCAAAAGACACTGGTCCCAATCCTGGATCCATTTTTCTCTGGCTCAGGTTTTTCCTCCCAATTATGAATTTTTCTTTGACTCTTGCAACAAGCTCCCTTAACCGGTTTAGGTCCAGCAGCAGAGGGTTCTCTTGAACATCCCCTTTGAACAGCAGTCCTTAACACTTTAAATGCTTTGTCGTCTTTGCCTTTTCTGCCACCACTTCAATTCTACCTCCTGTATACAACCGAGGGAAAACTCTGTCTGTCTTTGGGCTTTCTCTCTCTTCTTGGGTGCTTCCATTTGAATGGCTATAAAGATTAAAAACTATAAAGATTAAAAGCTCTTAATTGTGCCTGTGGCACCTCCCTACTCCTGAATTGGATTATATGGCTGCTTGCTTACAGACGTAACCCTCCCCCCCCCCCCCCCAAAAAAAAAAAAACCCAAAAAACAAAAATATCCCAGTGCTTTACTTTAAACTTTGCACGTCGGGTTTAGATAGATTGAATTAACTTAAGATAAGAGCACCAAAAATCCCCATTGAAGCACCCGATCTATGCAGACGCTGCAGAGCCAGGTTGAATTAACACTCTGGTGTAGAGAGAGAGAGAGAGAGTGTGTATGTGTTCACATCTGTTAGCAGCCTAAGTGACATGATCCCTTTTAGAAAGTGGCTGATTTCTATACTGAAGTATCTAATGATAACAGCAATTTCATAAAATTAATCGGAAATAATTCCAGAGTTACTAGTAAAAACAGTTTTTAAGAACATTCACAGTATTATCTAAGCGACCATTTTGTTTTTGGAACCATTTACTACTTTACTAGTTTAGCTTTTCCAATTTTTTTTGCCTAAATAAAAATAATTTTTCAGAGGGGTTCAGCATATGCAATATGCTATATTTTCAAATGTGTGGGGTTTTTTTCTTATTTTTTTGTATGTATCATATTACTCTGTGAAATAGTAGAGAGACAGAGCAAGCTTGTGAATGCTTGGAATGATTTTGAATTTCCTACATAATAAATTCTAAACTTTTATGTAAGTGCAACATGTTTTCATGGTTCACCTACCGATGAGGCCAACTTATAAATCCTGCTACTTTTGAGGCAATAAAGATGTATTCCTAGCAGTAGTAGAATGGGCCAGTCTAATGTTACTCTTCCTTCAAAAAAATTAGAGGTTTAGAGAGAATTTAGGAAGTCAGACAGGAATCTGATATCATGAAAGCTGTTGCCAATTTTACTCTGAGGAGGCCGAAACTGCACTGCAGTCTTGTCCCTTCCACTGCATGCTATTGTGAGAACTTGTGGAGAAAGAGATTCGAGTGATTGTAGAAATTTAAGTAAAGAACAAGGAAAGTTAGAAGAAAGCTATTTGAAAAGTTGTATCATTTTTAATGATTTTAATAAGAAGATCTAAACTGACCACAAGTTGCACTGAGAATTTCTCTATTTCCATTCCCAGAATGAAGTTCAGTCTCTTGAAGATGACCTGAATTCATGAATGCTAAAGCATGTATTCTCAATCCCTTCTTTTTATGAAAGAAAAATATGTCAAGTTCTAGTAGAACTGTTTTACATAGCATTGTAATCCTATTTTAAAGTTTTATATTCATTTCCTTAACAAAAGAATGAAAGCCATTTTCTGAGCGTTGGTTGGAAAGGGCAGCATATAAATCCTAATAAAATTGATGTATATGTAGTAATAGTGTATGCTCAGCAATTTGTACTGTGTTTTGCCAGAGTTTGCCAAATTCTCACGCTCGTTTTCTAACTGTATATAACATTGGTTGATTTCATTTTTAAAAGGTAATTAAAGGGCTCTGCCATCCCTTTCACATATGCACTTTATATGGTTTGCATAGGTAGAAAGTCAGCCTTCTGTAACCCTTGTTAGTCTCTCTGTCCAGGTGTGGTAGCATGGAGATCTGCAAGAGGCTAATTTACTTTAAGTTTTAGCCCATGCAGAGCTCTGTGCCACCACGACTAGATTGCTTCTTAATCTAAGTTAGCACTCCAGTATATGGTGTTGACATACCTTTCGCCATTCTGCTTTAATGAGGTTAAATCACAGTCAAGATTTAGTCCAGGAGGAAATAAAATGTAATTACAGATATGAAGATGGAGTTTTTCCTTTTAAACCCTTTTCTCTTTCAGTTGATTCACAGTAAAGTACTCATTGAGCTTGGTATAGAATTACAATTGAAAATATAATATAAATATTAAATGCATTTAATTTGTATTGTAATTAAATTTCATTTTTCAGTATTTTCTAATATTCCCTTTGCTAATTAAGTAGTTAAAGCCATTTTTAAATATCTGCTTTTTAGACCATTCTTCCCCAAACGCATGTACCATTAGGCATTGAATGTAGGAGCTAGCATCCAAGTTCCAGCCAGATGCAAATTTATACTGCCAAGTTACAAAATGCCTTAAAATGGGCCTTATAATGGAAACACTGACAATCTTTGCTACAGCAGCACTTGCCCAGTACCCGTATTATAAAAAGGAAAAGTTATTGTGGAATACTGTGACGCTTTTCTCTTTTAAATTAGATGAGAAAATTGCACAACAGACAGATAGGTGAAAAATAGATTTTGCTGCATACAGATGGAGATATTTGCATGTGAATTGCCAGACCACATATAATAGAATAAACAAGAAGCTTCTCCTTGAAACTTGTTGATTTAAAAAATACTCTGATGTGTGCCTGTACAGTTTTAGCCTGTCTGTATACAACGATTGGGCCAGATTTCTATAGAATTCCAGTGTGCATGAATATTAACAAGAAACCTGTTAAATGGGCACCTTTAATCACTTGCTATTTGAATTTCAGATCAGCCACTTGGCAGGACAGAATGCAAAAATGAGGGCTTTTCTGTTTGAAATGGTTTTGTGAGGTTTTTGTTTGGTTTGGTTTGGTTTTTTAAACTCACTTTTGAATTTATAATTTTCATTCTTTACTTGGTAGGAGTTTGGTCTTTTAAATAAGTCCTAAGATGTATATATCTGTGTAATACATTTCCTTTATACAAATACTGTATACAAACCTATATTTGTAATTAATTGTTCCCTTTTCTTTTATATTAACAGAGAGATTGCTTTCACTAGGCACCTCCATGAAATAGCTCCTGATCTATCTTATTATTACATGGGTTTCTACATTCATTCATGCCCTAAAATGAGATATAAGGTAATGTGTGTTTTTAATTATTCCATTGGCCTATTTAATGCTGTTTTGAAATGTTTGTCAGCGGTCATGGAAATATACGAATTATGAAAATACTATATTGAATTTTAACCTGGACTTTACATGGTTAAATCTCATGTTGCCTACTGAAATTTTAAGCCAAGTTAAATAGGTTTTTTTACAAATTTCTCTGCATGTGGTATTTATTATAAATTGGCTGGAAACCTTTAACGCATGGCAGTTTTCAAGGTTGTCAGTATGTCACATGACCTAGTTACCTGGATATTTCATATTTACAGTAAGTTGTGCCATGTACTGAGGTTTTCTTTCTCATGTTTGACTGAATGTTTATGAAAATGTTGCTCACTGACCCTTGGCAATGATCACATGCTGCCTGGGTCTTGGGTACATTTGGGTTTCTCTCGCTTCATTTTGCCATTAGGGACACGGAAGCTGCTATTATGGAGCAAACAGTGGACAGCTTGTCATTAAACAGTCTGGTACAGTGATTCTCAGCCAGCATGTTACGGCACCCTGAGGTGCCTTGAGATCCTTTGGGGGGTTTTGCAGCATACCACACAATGTTAGCACTGTTAGGTGTACAAACACAATTCACAAGATAAACCTAGAGATTTCAAATAGGAATAGATAGCACTCGGACCCACTCTGTTCAACATCTTCATCAGTGACTTGGACGAGGGGGTAAAAAGCACCCTATTCAAATTTGCTGATGACGCTAAGATGTGGGGGGATGTGAACATGCTAGAAGGGAGGAATAGGCTGCAATTGGACCTAGACAAATTATAGGGGTGGGCAGATGAGAACAGGATGGGTTTCAACACTGACAAGTGCAAGGTGCTACACCTGGGGAAGAAGAACCAGCAGCATACCTACAGGCTGGGGAACTCCCTTTTTGTCAGTGCAGAGGCAGAAAAGGATCTTGGAATCATTATTGATGCCAAAATGACATGGGCCAACAGTGTGGGGACGTGGTCAGGAAGGCCAACCACACCTTGTCGTACATCCACAGATGCATCTCAAGCAGGTCCAGGGAGGTGATCCTCCCCCTCAGTGTGGCACTGGTCAGGCTGCAGTTGGAGTACTGCATCCAGTTCTGGGTGCCACACTTCAGGAGGGATGTGGACAGCATTGAGAGGGTCCAGAGGAGGGCCACTCACATGATCAGGGGTCAGCAGGGCAGGCCCTACGAGGAGAGACGAAGGGACTTGAACCTGTTCAGCCTCCACAAGAGAAGGTTGAGGGGGGATCTAGTGGCCTGTTACAAACTAGTCAGAGGGGACCAGCAGGCATTGGTGGAGTCCCTGTTCCCTCGAGCACTACCAGGAGTGACTAGAAATAACAATCTCAAGCTGGCAGAGAGTAGATTCAGGCTAGACATCAGGAGGCACTACTTCACAGTCAGGGCGGCTAGGACCTGGAACCAGCTTCCAGGGGAAGTGGTGCTGGCTCCTACCCTGGGGGTCTTTAAGAGGAGGCTAGATGAATACTTTGCTGGGGTCATTTGACCCCAGTGCTCTTTCCTGACATGGCAGGGGGTTGGACTTGATGATCTGTCAAGGTCCCTTCTGACCCTACAAACTATGAAACTATAAAATAGGATTTCAAATAGGAATAGATAGCATTCTGTTCTGTTGTGGACTTTGAGTCTTTGCAGCAGCAGGATTGCTTTATTATTTTTCTGTATTCAAAAATCAAATGAAAACTAAGATGATAATCACCTGAATAATAACAGAATTTTATTTCTCATTGACTTGAAGACAAACATCATGTCCCAGCTCTTCGGGTTATTATTGCTAAGAACATCTGTCTTTTGCCACTGGCAATAACTCTAATATACAAGATAAAATTTGCATCCCTAATTGAATAAAGCTCATGTACACTTCAGCATATTAGACTAGCCAGCAAGCTATTGAGCTATGAAGAGTAAATGCTTTAACATATGACTGACTTAAACAGCCCTTTTGTAGTTTTATTATGAATGACAATGCAACCTGTCTTCTAATCAGATGGCTTCATGAGTTGTGCAGGTAATTGAAACTGACTCCAGCACAAATTTGATCTTCCAGGGATGCTTCCAGTTTCCATGGTATTTCTTATTAAATTCCCACTAGGTAGTAGGTCTGTTTTGAAATGCTGTATCCAATTCTTTATTACTTGGAACAAAATTCTGCCCTCACTTACACTTAAGTGACTCTTTAAACCTCAATGAGGTTGCTAAGGTATAAATAAAAGTAGAATTTGGTCTTTATCCAGTTTATATTTCCTAATCCTCTTAGAAAACTGTGTCCCAATTTGTAATTATGCTGTACTTGCACACAGAGTAGAATTCAAAAGTACAGATAGTTATGCATGTATTATATTGCAATAGCAGAAGAGGTGGTGCTGCTTCTTCTGGGAGAGTGCAGATTTATGGAAGGATTTCAGATTTTTCCAGTGTTTAACAGTGACTACATGTGATGTCATTGACAACCACGTTGATAATAATTCTGTAATCACTCCTCATCACTTTTCTGAGTAATGTTCTGGAAACTAACTTGAAAATTGGCCTTTGAAATGGATAGTGCTTATATGAAGTGACTAGTGGATTTATATGTGGGTGGGTGGTAGTTTTATAGATTAAGTAAGAAATTCCTAATTTGTCATATTGATGTTACATCTTGAACACTTTGCTTGGTCCCAGGTTTAGTAGTAAAATTCATGCCACCGTCTTTGTGCTGATGTAAGTCTGGAAAAATACTGTGATATAGCTAGAGGTTGTTAAACTGATGTTATGATAAGGACAATTATACGGTAGAAGATAGGAGGTGTTTGGGGTGGAGGTGGCTGGGGTGACTGAATCACCATTATGTGTTTGTTGTTGTCCTCCTGAATTCTGTTGTCCAGGATTACACATCCTGAAGCCATTTGGAAACCTGAATCTAGTGCAGAATGTGGTTGTTCACATCAGTGCTAAATTGTGATGGAAGCATGTACATTACATGCTTGCTGCCAGTCAGTTACCAGGTGAAGTTTACTTTTAACTGATAAAGGTAGAAAAGGCTTAGAATAGGATCACCTGGGTGATCAGCCATCACCCTGTGCCATGCTGATGCAGCTGTGTTCAGTGGAAGTGCTTGAGCTGGGATTTCTCTTTAATTTTTTTAAGTAGTGACTGCTAACAGGATATCCCTTATGAAGGTACCATGGTTTTGGAATTCAGAGTCTCCCTGTGTCACCTGGTTTGCGAGGGTTCACATTTGTTAATTTTTGAAGTGCTGTGTGAGCCCAGTCTTTTTTTCCCCGAAAGGTGATCGAGGGTGAATGTCTGAGCTGGGAATGATGGATTATTCTGATGTTACTTTGGTGATCTTGTGGTGATTGTTTTCACTTTTATGTGGGTCTGAATTTGAAGGCACTGATCTTGTATTGTAGCCTGTGTGGGCAGACTGCTTTGCCTCTGCAGGACTCTGTTAGAATAATTGGGGTTGTGGTCCACTTGCGTGTAGTACAGTCCAGCTTTGGGGCCTTTTACTGAAGGTGTCGTGTATTCTCTGTAAGGTACACATAAGGTGAATATGTTAAGAATAATCCTGGCTCAAAAGTTGAGAAATACAAAACAATATTAAAAAGCACCCAAACCTGATTCAAGTGTTCATACTTTTATGAAATGGGAGGTTAAAAGTGGGATCATGCAGGAGTCTCAGCAAGCTAAGAGAATGGGCCACTGATAAAGTTCAGTGTCGACAAGGGCAAGGTAATGCATGTGGGGAAAAAAATACTTCAATTATACTTACACAGTGCTGGGTTCTAAACTGGCTATTGCAATTTAAGAAAGAGACCTTGGAGCCACTGTTGATAGTTCTTTTAAAAATATCACCTCAATGTGCAATGGCAACCAAAAAAAAACAACTATCAAGGTTTTTTTTTTACCTGAAAGTATTAGGTATCATTAAGACGGGAACAGAAGCCAAAATGGTCAGGATTACAGAGCTGTTACCATACTACGAGAGACTAAAAAAAAGCCTTGGGGTTATTCAGCTTGTAAAGAAGGAAGCTGAGGGGGGTATGATAGTGGTCGATACAATCATGAAGTGTTTGGGCAAAGTGAATAGAGAACTTATTCACCAAATCCCAGAATTCTACAACTAGGGGGCATCCACTGAAATTAACAGGAGACGGGTTTAAAGTTCACAAGAGAAATTTTTTTTTTTTACACAGCACATAGTTCATTTGTGGAACTCATCACAGGAGGTTATAGAGGCAGATAGGAAAGCCAAATTCAGAAAGGGACTAGACAAATTCAAGAATGATGCATCTGTTAATAGCTCTTAAATAGAGCAATCAGAGATGTGTCCTCTCATCTCTTACATCTCTACACAACGATGGTGGTTGCCAACGAGGGTAATGAACAGGAGTTAACTTGAATCTGGAGGAGATCTGGGACAGAAGTTCAATAAACCAATTTAATCTAAATCAGTGAAGTCTGATGCTATATCCATCCAGGTTTATCTTAAACTGGTTTTGGCCATTTTGAAAAGCGGTTTATGCGGACTTAACTTCTGTTGTGTTACAGATTTGAACTGGTTTCGAATCATCTATAGCAGTTTGTTTAATTTCTGTCCCTAGCCCATGTGTTCTTATGCTACTGGGCACATTTTTTTTGGATTTGATTTTTTTGTTATTGAGGCCAAGATCTATTCAGACATTAAAAACTAAGTGAATAGTATTAGGCAATCGTTGACTGGTGCTTACCTGACGATGACTTCCTTTTTCTGGATAAGATCATTGTGGTTGCATCGTGTGCTGTAAGGCAACCTAAAGTGTTGACAGAAGGTTGTCCCCTCTGTAGTTGTTATACTCATTACCCTGATAGTTGAACACAGATGGTGAATTTCACTGAAGCAAAAAAAAAAAAAGCATAACAAATGTAGATGTACTGTTTTAGATTGACTCGGTTTTAATTTCATTCTTTGGAGTACTAGATTTTTGTGTTTAATTTAAAT